ACAAGTAAACTCAGTCTTGGCAGCCCCTAAGGAACTCTGAAATCCAGGCTGCCTTCTCTCTTAGAGGAGTCAAGTCATTCAGAAAATCAGGGGCCAGTCCTTAGAGGTTTGAAAAATGCATGTGAAATCCCCACATGTGCTGTGACAGTGTGAGGGGTATGGGGGTGCTGCCTTTTCCCTCAGGGACCTTGAAACTTGGCGGGGTGCTGAGGATAAGCTGTATAAGGGACATATGCTGTATGCATGTGAGGTTGTCTTTCTTCCAAGAGCCAGAGAAACCCCACCTAAGTACCATCCAGTCCCAACCAGGACCTTCAACAGCTTGGAAAGGGGCAACGCAGAGTCCTAAGGACTTCAGAGCTGAGCTGAACAGGACCCTCAGGTGTTTCCGGGGCCAAAATGAGGGCTTCTTTCTGTGGCTTCAGAGTTCACATGTCAGGAGGGTGAATTTTTGTGGTCAGACGGACTGGAATTTGACCCCCGCTCCACAGCTCCTGGCCAGGTGTACTTCGGCAACCTACTTCATCTTTGTCCCTGAGCCTGCCTTCCCCTGTCTGCACAAAGACCCTCCCCAGCTCGGCATCCTAGTGATTCTTAGTGAAGAAACACTGCAAGCCGTCCCATTCTCTCTAACCTGGAGCTGGTGCTAATTTCTGCTGGCTCATTTCTAGCCCAGGTCAGAAATTAATTAGCATTTATAAACAGAGCACAGAACATGTATCTGAATCTAGTAAGGACTTAGCTATTCTTTGGGAGAACTTGTCTGCAAATGGGTACCGCAGGCTGTGACAAATCAGATTATCTAAGAGTTTGCAGCCATTCCTGACCTCATCACATAAACAGAGACATCGACTTATGGGCTATGCACTCTAGGAGGCAGGAGAGGTGACAGACACGGATGTGAGGTTTCCAGAGGAAAGGTTTGGACTTGACCCAGAAGGAAACATGTAGGTGCCCTGATAAGGCTTGATGCCCTCATCTCCAGGCTCGCACCCCTTGCTTTCCTTTGTATGCACTCTATTTCCCCAGATCTGGCCAAGCCTGAAGTTTGGAAATGCTGATGCTGCTTTGCTCAAACCCGGGCACAGGGCACATCATATACCCCACACTGTGGTCTTGCTTCTGTGACCTGTGTGGCCAAAGTTTGCAGAATGCTGGTGCTTGAAGTTTGCAGAAAGTATCAGAGGAGCCATGAACTTCTAGGAGGAGTTGGGGTGGATCTGGTGACTGCCCACGCCACACCCTGTCAGTAACCAGGATGGTCACCCTGCTTGTCCCACCAGGAGGCCATGTTGAACTTCCTGGCAGAGACAAGTGGCTGAGTTCTAGCCAAGAGGCAGTAGGCTGATTTAAAAGTGATGCTTCCGTAATTTCATTCTCATCTTCAGTTAGGATGAGTGTGACAGTAAGGTCCTCATTAGGAACCTAGTCCTTCGATTTCAAGAAAAAAGCCAGCTATCAACTGAGAGAAAATTGCAGGGTTGGTTTTTTTTTTAAACACAAAAAACTAGCCCTGTGATGGGCTGAGGCTTGCCTGCTGGCTATACCAAATACCTCAAAATAGAGACCAATTAAAGGTTTACACTGGTCTGTTTATCAGGTCATATCACAGAGTTCCTTCCCAGACCTCCATGGCTGGGCTAATAAATGTCCCCACAACAAGTCTCCCATCTTGTCAGTGATGACTCAGTCACTTTGCTCTTAGATCTTGTCATCAACATAGCCCCTTGAGCAGCCCATCTGGTGAGGGATTTTGTTTTATCTCAGTATTTAGAGAACCCCATTAGAGCCCAGCATCTGGAACTGCAGGATTTCCGTCAAGTCTTCATATCATCTCTGGAGCAATAGATACATCCTGAGTTTATTTGATAGTTAAGCCTCCCCCCTCTTTAAAATGGGCTTTGTGGTCACTGTGCTCTGGGCTTCAGCCCACCTTGGATGTTCCATCCCCAGATGCTGTGGACAAAAGCAGACGGATGACAGATGGACTAGAGGCTTTTTTCTCATCCAGATATTTTGGCAACTCCTGGCATAGCAATCACTCACAGGGACACACAAGGGAGCAAACACCAGGCAGCCTCCTGAAAGCCCGCTGCAAATTTGATCTGAAAACAGAGAAACAAGGGAAGGACACTGACTCTCCCAGGCCTGATAGATGCAGTTTAAAACTTCAAGAATTTCTAAATAACATGGCATGAAGTTAGGGATCAAGTGACATTTATCTGGTTTTTATTTTTTTGGTCCCCAGATTTACATTTCTGGGCAGTAAGGTTGCTGAACAAATTAATATTTGCATACAAAGATGCAGGCGGTGCAGGAGTCAGACAGCTGCGAACGTTTGGAAATACTTGGGGCTCCGTCTCTGATTAGCTCCTGCATTTTTGTTTTTTTATTCCCCAAGCGGACACTCACTCTGACCCAGATCACTTGGTGATTAGGGTCAATTCATGTTTAAGCTTTGAAGATTAGAGAGACCAGAAATGGCCACCTCTTCCCTTTCTATTTTCTTTTAACTACTTTAAACTTCAGAAACTAGGAACTTGAAAGATATGCATAATATTCTGAGCACACTGAAGGAATTTATCCACATTTCTGCCATGTTAAACGTTAGCAAAGTTTATATTGGACTGTCATATTTCTTTACTTTATTCACCAGCATACAAGACGTCGATCTCAACATCTGGCTTTTAATAACCCTCGACATCTGGGAGCTCCTTTTTATTCCTATGGTGGACGAGGCACAGTAGTGATATTGGCAGTGTGTATTTTCGAGCTACAACTCCTGTCTGCTTCAATCATAATTAATTACCACTTTTTAATATATTTAATTTGCTAAAAGTAATTTGCATTAGACCACACTTTGCTGTTAGGAAAATAGTTATAGATTTTGGTGGCAGTGGCTTTCTTTCCTCCTTCCTTCTTCTTTTTCAAAATTTAAAACATCTTTGGATTTGAAGGAAACTGAATGTCTACATGCTGTTGGTTTTAAATGCAAAATGCAATAAACTGCTTGGCAAAGGGAATGATTTTACAGCCATTCAGAAGCAGTCAGCAGGGACTGTAGGCTGCATTTTGAGGAAAAGAGCCTGTTTTTTGTGTGTGACTTTGGCAAATCATAGCATCTCTCTGAGTTTTCCTGCAGCAGTGACTTTGGGAGTCAGGAACCTTCTAATGAAAGCTAGGATCTCCATCCAGAGAAATATACTTACACACATACCCACACTATTCTGCATTGAACTGCAAGAAATTGCTAGACCCTTTCAGACCCATTTGTGGATGCTTGAGGGGCCCCTGCTATACTTTCCTTCTTTATTAGCATAAAAAAGAACATAAACTTTTCTTTTCTCCAGGAACTGAAAGAAAATTGAATGAATGTAAAAATCCATATTTCTCAAATTAGGTAGGGAAAAGGGAGGTTCATTGCCAGGAGCAATTACTAGACTGTGTAGTGGTAAATAGACACAGGTAAATTTTACATGAGGAGGAGACCCAGGTAAGATGATCAGCTGAACTTATTTGGGGCCAGAATATTACTAGCCAAACTGTCAGTGCAAATTCATACTGAGTTGTCCAATTTAGACTGTGTGCAAATCACTTGATTGACTCAAATCACTTGATTGGGACATTGCTAATTCTTTGGGCTGCACTCTGGTGAACTCCCTTTGTCAGAATAATATTTTTAAATACAAAATAAAATTCACAAAAATACAAAAGAAATCATATGAAAACTCATTTCAAAGACCATAGATCCAAATTCTTAAGCAGATAAAATCACCTTAGCCTTGTTGGCAAGATTGAGTCAAACTGTATGAAGTTGCTGTTTTTCTAGACCCAAAATGGCCAACAGTGGGCATTTTCATATAATTTAACCTGATACTACAACAACTTAAGCAATATGGATATATATTGTGAGAAAATGGTTCAAGTTATTGTTTTTCCTCTTCCTGGTTTTCAAAACACAGAAGCCAATCATGGGAAAACCTGGTTTTGTCAGGGATTTGTTAATAGACACAGCTCCCAAATTACGTGTGAGACCAGGATATGAACCACTCAGTTTTCTACACTTTGTTTCTATCCTTGCAGTGAGCAGTGAGAATTCTTGTTCAAAACATGACCTTGTGATGGCGGATATACTTCTGTCTGCATAGATTCAATTGCCATGCCCATCCACTTCTTCACTAAGTGAGGAAAATGGCCCGAACCATTCTGGAAATGTTTTCAACAAGAATTCAGACCAAATAAGTTTCCATTTATCCACAGTTGAGCACAATTTTAAGTTAAACAAAACTTCCTTTCTACAAGCATTTTACTGAATTGAGAGTTTACTCTCTTTGCTTTGAAACTTATTTGATTGCAAATGTATAATCATTCCATGCAAATGTATAATCATTCCATGGCGGGCACATCCTCTTTTATGCTGAGAGTAAAATAGAACCTGACAAATCCAGAAGATCACAGCATGTTTGAGCCTTTGTGAAATAACCAATGTGAATTATCGCATGCTACAGAAGTTCATTCCACCCAAGTTGGTGGGGGTTTGTTTTTTTTTTTTAATTTTTCTTCAGCCTTTATTGATACTTCAAGCTTAAGAGAAATTAAGGGTATTTAGTTACTCTAATTACTTTTCTGCTTACTTAAAAGGTTTAATCTACTCTTTAGGCATATGCAATTCAGATTGCATGCTTTCCAAAAAAATAATCATCTGCTAATGTAGACTAATTTTAATCTTCTAATCCAATCTTGACACAGAGTCAGAGCCTGGTGGGTGGAATGTTTTTGTGTGGGGGTTGCCATAGATACAAAACTCAGTTATGTATTTGACAAGTCAGTGATGTGGAACTTAAGTTACTATGGATTTTTTTTCCTCGCTCTTTAAGATTAAAACACGAAGTGAAGATCAGTGTGCCTTTGCAGTGCATCCCAGTGTAACTAACCTTCTCTTCTTTCATTCCGGTGCTCCCCTCCTCTCCGCGCACCTTCTTACCCCGGGCCGGCCGCAGGATGACGAGGAGGGCATATGGGCATAGCCGGGCCTGTAAACCAAAGTTCCAGTTTTGTTTTGAGGGGTGAGAAAACCATCTTTTATATCATTTTTCTTTTAAAAATTGTATTCTAGTGCTGTATTGTGTGTGTGCTTAGTGGTGCTCGCTGCTGTTTGTGACTGTGCCCTGTGTCTGCTTCTGTGTGCCGTGACCACCCCCAAGAGCTCCCTCCTTCATACCCGCCTCCCTGCACCCACAGTATGTTCTGCCTTGTTGGGGCTAGGTTGAGCACCATTCAAATGTTGCTGTATTGTTTAAGATGTAAACTCTGCCCTCATTAGGATTTATCCACACTTTTAAAGGCTTGATTGTGGGCTCAGAAATTATTACAGTTCTCCAGTCACGGTTTTCAGCCAACTGCTTGCTCTTACCAGATATGCAAGTGTGGTCTAACTCCCATGTCCTTCTGGTTGTGTCAGATGTTCGGTAAGGAATAAGGAAAACAAAGCTATTTATCTTCCTGGAGCTGAAACTATCATGTGTAAGAAGCCCATTTAATGAATTGTACTCTCTTCTATGGCAGTTCTGAAGAAAACACAAGGAGCAAGGCATAGAAATGGTGAATGGGTAACTGTATCTCTTTAAATGAACTAGGATGGAAATGTTAATATTGACAGACTCATGAGTGGTATTATATCTGTTGCTTTTTAACAATTGCCTGTCTATAGACTTTTGCATATTTTCATGCATTGTGTTTTTTCAGAGGATTTTGCTCTTTTAAAGGTTGATTTTTATCTATTGCAAACCTACTGTTTATTTCTTGGCTATATGCATTATAGTTGAATAGTGGTGCATGTAATGCTCTATGTTGTTAATATAAAATGGAACATTGAACTCTGTCAACTTTTGCTTTTGGGAATCACACCTTTCCAGGATACTGCAGACTGTTTAACACCAAGTCACGAATGCTCTGGAGCTGAATATATCTACCTATGGTGACACAGACTATTCTGTTGAAGTTGGTGACATTGTATATGAGCATATATATATATATATTCAGAACAAGAAATGTGGTAGATTGTGTGCCATAGTCAAAAGTACTCACCATGTGGTTCTTTTTCTGGGACAAATGTGAAATGTCCCAGGCCTGTGATTGGAGAGGCGGTTCTTTGGGATAAGTAAACAGGTGTGCCCTTCCGCAAGTCTTACACTCATATTACGTAAGCAGTGGTTCTTCAGATAAATTTGAAAACAGTAACTGGTGCATTTCGCCCGTGGGTGACAATTTTCACTGATGTTTTTCAGTGCTCTGTTGAACTCGTCGAAGGTCCCATCAGTGAGTCACACTGCTCTCTCTGGTCCTTCAGGGAACACACAGAGGTTTGACTTTCATTTACAGCATCTTTCCACATAGTACAGATGTAATGCTTCCTGGATCCGTTGACTGCCAATAGAACCTGCTTCCTGGTCACAGTAGGCCATCTCCCCTTTCCCCCCCTTCTCCCTTTCCTTGGTAAAGAGGAAAACAGCACAGAATTAACTCTTCCAGATGCAAAGTGGTTCCAAAGGGAAGCTTGTTGATATAGGGAGGTAGGGAAACCAGAGAAATGCTAAAATTTGTCTGAGTGACTCCCTATCTAGGGAAGAGTTTAAGAGAAACATGGCCCTTACTCATACAAATAGCTGGTAAAAATGCAAATTGACCTAAAACAGCTCGAAGTGAGAAGTAAATATTTTATAATGTTAAAGAGTGAACATGTGAAACCTGCCCACAGCATGCATGTAACAAGTAGGCAAGGGAGGGTTCTGTGAGTTTGGGGTTGCCTAGAGAAGTGTAAATCCTTCTTGGGGCTCTTTTGTGGACCTGCTTCTGCCATCGTGTTATAGTGTCAGGAGTGGGCTGCATTTGTGTCTCCTCCTGGATGTGTGCTGTTCTTAGTCATTCAGTCACGTCCAACTCTTTGCGACCCCATGGACTGTAGCCTGCCACACTCTTCTGTCCACGGGGGTCCAAGGGCAGGTTGTCATGCCCTCCTCCAGGGCATCTTCCCAACTCAGAGGTCGAACCCAGGACCCCCACATTGCAGGAGGATTCTTTACCATCTGAGCCACCAGGAAAGCCCCTCCTCCTGGAAAATAAAGACTCTTATTGCTCTTTCACAAGGTTTTTGACACCCCAGCCCCCTGCCTTCCACCATCCCCTGACTTAGAAACCATGTCATTCTCAGGATGAAACTGGTGCCAAGGCACATAGACAGCCTTGCTTTGCTCAAGGGAAGCAGAGATAATGGTATTAAATCCCCATCCTCCTTATTCCTTTATGAAATTTCCCCAAACACCATGTATCCCAGAAAACAAATGCCTTCTGAAAATTAGTCAATATATAATCCTGCTTTAATATGCTGTAATAAATTTTATAGGCTTCTGAGGAAAACTACTTATCTTTCTTTATGACTCCTTTAAACAAGTTTGCTCAGATATCCTTGGGCCTTTAAAACCATATCTTAAGGATTTAAATAATGAGATACTGGGAGAACCTTCTATTTCTGAACAGCCGTTGCATGTTTTGAGTCGCATTACAATCTGTGGGGCCTAAGGAGATATTAAATTTATAACTAAAGATGGATAATAGTGGCACATTAAAAATTAACTGTTTTGAATATTTTGATTTATGGCCCTTATAAAAGAAACATTACAAGAAGTTATTTTACTAGGCATCAGTAATATGCTTATAATAGCATCATAAGCCTTTGACTTGAATCTGGTGTTTCGGTGCTGAAATGAATCATAATTTAAGAAAAGTCGCTCCAAAAGCTACAACAAATTGGAATTAGCATAACAACCCTGACAGCTCCTCCCTTTTTTGGCACTTCTAGATACTAGCCTAGGCATGATTCATTTGTCTCACTGTGATCATTCAAGGGTGGTGTTTTCTGAGAGCAAAGTGGACTGGGGAAAGTTTGCTTTTCTGAAGAGTTTTGACAGCCCCCAGAGCTAGCCGTTTCCCCCATAAACCTCACAGCCTAGCCCAGCGTTCTCAGCATGTGACCTGCGTGGGCCGCAGAACCCTGGGCTTGGTTTCACGCTCTGCTGTCGCTGTCTTGAAGCTGTTCATAATTTCTGAATGAGGCGCGCCACACTTTGTTTTGCTCCGGGCCCCCCAAGCTATGTAGTCCGGGCTGGTTAGACCCGCTGCGCATCCTATGCGCTGCCTCCAGCTCCTCTCCAGTCCCCTTCCCTGTTGGCTCGTCCCTGCTCCTGTTTTCTTACGGCTGGAGTTTACCTTCCGCCTGCCTTATTTTTCTGGTTTTCTTCAGAAACCCGATGGGATCACATTTCCAGCATTACCAAAATGTGTATTCAACCATGGCCCCCTTGTGCCACCCCCCCAATTTGATTGTGAAAATGTGCTCTTGGGGCCCTTCTGCATTTTCTATCTTGCTTTGAAAAATGCAGGAAAAGTGGCTGCTTAATTTCTCCATTACTTTCCTTCAGGAAAATCCACTTGATGTGGCAGTGATCTGGGTCAAAAAATAAGCCTTCATTTCCATTGAATGGAGGTGCCTTCCTTGCACCCCCAGGAGGCTCTTTGGTTTGTGAATATTCAATGAGGTGAGACAGTGGGATCCCTTGCAAGATCTAGGGCCACATCTGCCTTGACATTTGAATGTTTCAGCTTTTACTGTGAACTCTTGTAATTGAGCAGACATAAGAGTACAAAATCATTTTTATTTCTTAAACCACTAGAAAAGAATAAGTCTTTTTAGATTGAAAACATATGCAAATGTTTAGGACCTGATTCGTAAAAATACAGATGTGGGCATTAACAAGTTTTGGCACGGGCCCACGATGCTAGTAGATGAATCCTGTCAAAACGAAGCATTGTAGCTCTATGCCACCAGCACATGGACAGTGTTTCAGTAAGTGTGCTTATGAATTGCAGAGCACGCAGACTTGAGGAAGGGAGTTTTCACACGTAGAAGCGGCGCTTGAAAGCTGGTAGAACTCCCTGGCATGCCGCCTGTCAGGAAGAATGAGGAAGGAGATATTTTATTGTGCCTGGAAAGCTTGTTAATATGTTCTGTGCCTTCTCTTAGCAGAAAAGGTCTGGGCACAAAGCCTGTGCTCATTCTGCCTGTCCTGTGCTCAACCTCCTCAACTGAAGTCTTAGTTTCTCTGCAAAGTGGAGGTTTCCTTTTGTATCATCTGGGCAAGGATACCAACTAGTGTTTTTAATTCAACCCATCTCTTTACGGCTGAGGATCTGATAGATTCATCTTCTTGTGCCATCAATTCCTAAGACTTTTCCTTCCTTCATTCATTTATCCAATCATTCAATTATTTTTCATCTGTTCATCTGTTCTTTCATCAAATGGTTAAAATCTTGGCTAGGTGCTGAGAAAACAGCGGTGCATATGATAGACATGGTTGCTACATTGTTGGTCTTAAAATATGGTTTAGGGAAACTCTCCATAACAATTTAAACATATGAATGGAAAACACACACTTTGATCATTGCTTTGATGGAAATTGGGAAGATACTAAGACTAATAAGAAGAACCTATTTGAGCAAAGGCCAAACGTAGGAAAGAACTTTATGGGCTGAAGGAGCTTAAAACCATGACTCTGGTTAAAAAATAAGACAGTAAGATGAAGATGAAGAAGTGGGAAGGGACCAGATCATGTAGGGTCTTTTAGGCTAAAGTAGGGAGTTTGGGTTTTAAGCCTAAGGAAAGTAAAAAAATAGAAAAGAAAAAGAAAATTAGAGGATCTTAAACAGGGGTATGACGTAATTCACTTCATGTTGTAGAACAACCCAGGCTGCTGTGTGGAGGGTGACATATCATGGCAGGAAGAGCAGAAGTAGGGCTGTTCCATCATCTGTGAAGGGAATAGCAACCCACTCCAGTATTCTTGCCTAGAAAATGCCATGGACAGAGGAGCCTGGCGGGATATATTGCATGGAGTCACAAAGAGTCGGATGTGACTGAGCGACTAAGACAAATGGTGCTGACCCAGGGGAGCGGTGGGGGATATTCAGACATGTGGATAAGTTGGAGATGAGACTAGCATGTGAAATCACA